AACAATTTTTCGCTAATATCTCGAAAACTAAACCTTTCCGCGAAATTTGTATATGAACAAAATTGTTCAGAATCATGTCCGTGATAAGGTATTAAAAGCGCACTAAAATCGAGAAAAGTTTATTTCAAAAGTTGCCGGTTTTTTTGCAATAACAATACTTTGCAATTAAAAAATGAAAAATTTTTTGATAATGGTACCAATGGGAAGTCAGAACCTACCAGATGCAAAAGGTTTCCTTCCGATCGGTCCATCCAGCTAGGCATAATCGACGGGCACACATAGAAAGGAAAAAAAAAAAAATATACTGATCGAATTGAGTAATCTTCTTCTTTTTCGAAGTCGGTTAAATAAATAGAACTAAATCAACAACTCTGTAACCGTGCTGGTTACATAATATAAGAACACCTTATATATATCCGTTCGTGTATTGCCGCGGTATGGGGTATCCCTACTCCGCGCATACGTCGTGATCATTATTTCATGGGGTTACCGGTAGAGTATTTACCCCACTTTCACTAATTATGCGTGCGCATCGATCCCCACTCGATAGCGATCGAAGGAGGTCGATGCGAGGATCAAATTCGTCACTCTACGGAGCACTCTACGTCTGGAAGCGAATCGAGTCGGTTCAAGAAAAATCTATTCTGCGAAACACGGTATGCGATTGCGAGGTCAAACCGACCTGATAGATTCGTGAAGTCGACAATTTGTCCGCGACGCGTAAACGCCTCAAACCGAGGAGTCGATCGTTCAAGCCGAACGGTGGCACAGTCAGAGTAAGATTTCGGAACAATTAGTCGATCGTGAACAGCGTAGTAGTCAGAACATAAATATTGATTTGTATTAATGCGAATAACCGAATAGATAATTCCTAAATTCTTTGGGTAAAGTTGTGGTAAGTAACGGTTGATTGGAAGTTGATTCTCTTTAATAATTTTCGTCGTTATTCCCGCAGTTGTGAATAGCGATTGAGATCATTTAAATTGTACATTTTGGCGTGGTACAGCTCTCAGGCTCATACAGGCAATTGAAGTGTCGCTCGGCCCACGTAAAGTGTCCCGCCGCATCTTCTAATTGTACCTGTGTGCCCTTGCGAGAAGTAGTCTCGCTGGTGTAGAATTGTATGATTTCTGCCATGTTTGATCGGGGCACAGCTCACAGACTCGTTTGAGTAACCAGAGTATCGCCCAGCTCACGAAAGTGCCCTGCCGCTACTCCTTGGTTGTTCTCAAATGCCTTTGTGAAGAGGTGGACACGACCGCGTGGCACAGCTTTCGCTCTGTTTGGAGGTTAATTAGAAATATTCGTTCACGTGTTTTCATTCGTCTTATTTACGTGTCGGACTCACAGTGAAAATTAGTGAAAAATGACAGAGAAAAGTGATAATGAAAACTAATAATGAAAGATGTCAGTGATAGGTGACAGTGAAGTTTCTTGAGAGTTTTTTTAAGAGTTGAGGCATTTTAAGGCATTGAACGACGATATACCGACGTTATACCGACGGTATCGATACATTTGTTCACAACGACGATCGGCCGTCATATTCGAAGCTGTCGCTCACGCTGTCGTTCACGCTGTCGCGTGCTCTCATTGATCAGTGTTTTTTGCTAATAACTCGAAAATGGAGCCTCAACCAATATTTTGGCAAAGGAAAAAATTGTTCAGAATCGCCCCACCTACCACCCCTTTTCGGGTCCTACACTAATTGCGGGACACCCTGTATATAAATAACCAATTGAGATTTCACGTAAAGCATTTACTTTCCTTTCGCGTCTTCGAGCGCCGACTCATTGAAAAACATTAGATTGAACGAAACAAAATTGTATTACAAAATTCATAAATATTTTTTTTTTATGCGTGCGATTTAATATCGCGATAAATGAACGAAACTCTTATTGTTGGATATACATGTATGTATGTGTTGGATTTGCAGAATATATATTGTCTTATGTTAATTATTAACGAAAGAGGTTTTTAACTTTCTTTAACGACCAGTCAGACCACTCCGCTATCCAGTACCTGGAGGCCCGAACCCTCCATTTAAATCATTCACAGATTAATGTACTTTTATTCTTACTGAGAAGCCCAAGCTGGGCTTTAAACCAGACAGAATTCACAGAAAATATAACGACAAAATTCGTAGAAGCAACGCCCGTCTCCGGGCGTATCTGAGTATCTTACGTTTACAACTCCCAATATACACAATCCACTTAACAGCAGATAGTAATATGAATAACCTATCCCTTATTACAAAGCTGCTGCACCAAACAGTAGAATGGGAAAAACTTAAACATAAAGACATTACTCAATGTTGGAAATGCCAACGTATAGGACATTCTTCGTCCACTTGCAACCTAATATTTAGATGTGTTAAATGCGCAGATACACATGAACCCGGCAAATGTTTAATTACCTCCCGCAAGAAAAACTTGACCAACTTAAATGCGCGCTATGTGGTCAAAATGGGCACCCCGCCTCCTACGGAGGTTGTCCATTCGTAAAATCACATAAACAAACAATAGCCAAGAAACAACAAAATCAAATTGCCATCAGGAACGAAAAAATAGCTAAAATACAGAAACTGGTAAACCCGACAATATCATACAGTCAGATAACCGCCAATCATCAACCAAGCACACAAATAACCACCTCACCCCCCACCCCGCAAAGACCTCCAGTTCCTGCCCATCTACCATCTCCACCACTACCAGCTCACTTCTTAACAAGCCCCAACACTGTCATGCATC